ATTAACTATTTCTTGCTCCCTTCTTCCCTTTAGGGTCACTCATCAAGCATAATGTGAGGAAAGTCCTTAAAGCCATATAGGCTGAACTGACCACTGCATTGTATGATCTGAGTCTCAGACTCCCTACTCTGAAGAATGGGGTTACAGCATTGACCGTTCTTTGCTCATGGGGTTATTATGACAACAGAAAAGTTCATGGAAATGAAAATATCTTGTAAATCTTGAACTGTCAGGCAGGTAAACTTGGGCAAACAGCTACTGATCATTTCTCTGTATCAGGACCATGAGGTCTGTGAGGATTTGAAATCAGCAAGAAAAGTGTTCTCAAGGAATTGCTATGATTTTTCACTCAATATTTTCAAAGGTCAGCAAATTCTAGGAATTTTAAGACACTATCAAGGCTTTGTAGATGAGTGATAAAAATAAATATGAATTTGGAGTTTTTCAATAAAAACATTTTACTATAGACTTTCTTTAAGTCAAAATTCTTAAAAGAGGAAAAACTTTTCAAGAATTTAGTAAGATGTGTTTGGAAATAAAGTCATGATAGTTGTGCTAACACTAATGATAGACAGTGCAATTTAATTGCACTTAACAATTGTCAGACACCACACTATAACGTGAGATTTTAATGTATGAACTACCTCTCATTGCTCATCACAAATCTGAAAGATGGGTTCTACAAATATTGTATGAAAGCTAAATTGAAGATCCGAGAGGTTAAAGAATTTCACTAACTCTCTCTCCTAGGAAGCACCAGACTGAATGCAAACCCAGGCAATCCACTTCTCCAAGACTGGGTGGGTGGTGTCCTAAGAAGAATCTGAAATGAGGAGTCTGGGTGGGGTGGGGACAGTGTGGTATTGTATGTGGGATGTACAGGGAAGTAGAGCTGAACCCCAGTCCTGCCTACAGGCGAGGGGAACTTAAAGACCTCAGAGGGCTGCAGAGGGCTGCAACTAATCAGGGGCGCTTGGCTCCCAGGGCCCCATCGATGCATCTGTCAGCCCATCAGCAGCGAATCCAGCTCCTATGACTGCAGCCTTGCTCTGCTCACCGAGCTGCTGCCTGGCTCTGCTGGAGCCCTGTGTAGCTTGACCTCCCTGGTGCGAACACATCAGTTATCCACACTTAGAATTTGAATGTGTGTGACCAAAGTCACAACAGGCAGGAGTACTGGCCCCAACGCCTCAGTGAGGTGACTGCCTGGGCTCCATCAGCTCCGGGTGTGCTCAGGGGATCTGTGCAGCTTTAACCCTCTCAGACTGGGTCCAGCTATTGGCCTGACTTGACTTTATCTTAGAGCAAATCCAAGAGACCTTAGTACAGTCAAATGTGGTGGCCCAAGCAGGAGGTCCTGAATGGTTCATGGGCATCCAGATCTTTATTTTATTTTATTTTTTTATTTTGTGGTCCTGGGGATCAAACTCATGACCTTGTGCTTGCCAGGCAGCCACTAAAGCAACTGAGCTAAATCCCCAGCCAGGGCATCCAGATCTTATGTCTTATCATAGTTCACATGGCGGGCAAGTACCCGGAGCCATTTCAGCACAGTGCATTCCATTCCTCACACTTATGTGTTGGGGAAGCAGGGTTTTAATTAGCACAAATCAAAAAAAAAATTTGTTAATATTTCTGTCATATCTGAGAGTATTAAAATGCAGTTGGTTAGTTTGGATGTGAGGGCCAAGGGGTCCAAGCCTTGAAGACAGGAAGAATAGGTGTTTTTCTCTGAGATACATTGAAGAGCATAGCGATTATAGTAAGTAGTCATCTACTGTACATTTTGCTGTAAATTATAATGTTTCTGTCATAAAAATTAAGTATTTGAGGTGATGGGTATTGTAATTAGCCTGACTTTATGGTTTTACCTTGTGTTCATACACAACAACATTTGTTTTTATCTCATAAGCATATTTTGTCTACTTGCAACTTAAAAATTAAAATGAAAAAGAGGAGAAAGTTACGCTGTGACCCTGACTCTGGACACATGTAGGAGGGTGTCAGCACCATGCACGGAGCAGGAGCTTGGGGTTCAGGGCCCCTGAATGTCAGTCCTGTCTTATCTTCCTATTCATTCATTGTGTGACATGGGCAACGTGTGGAGCCTCTCAGATCCTCAGTGTTCTCTTTTATAAGTTAGAATAGGCACATCTCCTAAAGTGACAAGATACAATGGGTATCCGTTATTCAACAATTAGCAGACCTGCCAATGGCATCTGCAAATCATTGCTAAAAGGGACTCTTTTACTAGCTAACCCCAGCAGTGTCTGCTCCTGTAACTCCTCTAAACCCTGTGTGGAGACGATATTCACCATGCACAGTGCATGCATATGCACAGCCAGAAGTAAAAGACTGGAAAACGATGAAGTAAGCAAAAGAAAAAAATAAGCACAATAATGAAGATAATTTCCTAACAATCCTGTCACAAAAGTAAAAACAAATCAAGGTCACCAAAAATAACTCCCATGATATTTTTCCTCACAATTCTATTTGCTATCTCTCTCGTTTTTTTTTTTTTTTTTTGAGCTGATGATACACACTGAGGTTTCTCAGTTTAACTGATAACTTCCAAAATCACTGGAAATTTCGTTGCAATCTGTTAAGAATATTAATAGAGTTAGGTTAGCCCCTGTGAAGACTCCATAGCTGGAAGAATTCTGTGGAACTCTGACCTTGACGCTGGCAGTTGCCGGTGGTGGGCGATATAACTGCTTCACCCAGTGCACCCCTTTGCTGAGTGGATATGTCAGACCCTATGCGCTTGCTCTCAGCCTCATAGAGCCCACACTGTTTTCTTCCTGGTTAGAATTGTACAGCACCCACAGCAGCAAGCTGAAGCGGAGACAGGTGAAGCCACTCTCAACAAGGGCACACAAGCTACACGATAGATTCATATCCAGTTTTGATTGATCTCACAGCCCTTTTGCTTTCCAGATTACCATGATGCCCACACTCCCTGAACTTCTCTGAGCCTTGATTTCAGCATCCTTTATTATTTTTTTTTTAGCTTTCTGAGTGGTTTATTTAATTTAGATGATTGTCTTAGGTTGAATCAGTTTTCCTCCAAATGACAGGGTTTCATTCTTCCCTCTGGCTGAATAATGTACCCAGTTGTGCCAATATAGCACAGTTTCCTTACTTGTTCATCTGTTCCCAGGCATCTAGGTGGTTTTCTGAGCTTGGCTATCATGAATTGTGCTCCTATATCTTGTAACTGATGGCATACATGCCCTGCTTACTACATTAGATTGTTACATACGAAAAAACACATATCCAAAGACTCTGTAGATTACACAAAGCTACACGACTGTGTTATGTCATTATTCCCTAATGAGATTTTTAAAATAAAACTTCATATATTTATGTGTTTTGATAGGTTCTATGATGATTGTGGACATATTTGATGGATAAAGTAGGAGAAGATTTGGTTTAACGTAAAGAAACTAATAGAAAAGGAAGCCAACATTTACTGCTCATATAATGTGTCAAGCACATACTACATTTCATTTAATGTAAATATTACATTAATAAGGCTAAATAATTATCAGCATAAGTCTTATGTAGTTTGGCTCCATTACAAACACACAGGAGTTGAGAGTTACAGATAGAAGAACACGCATGGCCCAGGTGGCAGATTTATGATCCTGATCAGGTTGGTCAGGCATCAAATCCTGTCATCTTTCCATTAAGCAACTGACTCCTGGCAAAAGAAAAGTAGGATTTCCTGATGTTAAGGCCAGAGCTGGCCAGAGGTACAGGAAACGACACCCTTTGTTTTCAGGATGGTTTATAGTTTTCTGAACTACAGTCTCCTTGGTGAAATGGAAATAGCAGCAGCACCATTAAAGCGCTGGGTGTTACAGACCACTGCAGGAGTGGATTCAAAAATGAACTCCAGGAAGCTGCAAACAAACAAAGTTAACTCTACATAGTGGTCCGTCTCAGGTGACAGTAAACTTAATTCTGAGTTGTTACTGAATGCATTACTATCTGGACAACCATGAGTGTGTTCATTTGAACACTCCAGCTCTTTATCTGTGAACCACAGAAAATAATCCCTAGTCCTCAAGTCCAAATGGAAGGGTCAAGTGAATTAACAGAAACGCCTGGCGGCCAGAGCTGGAGTTACATTAATGCAGGTGCCTTTCCTGGTTCTCTAAATCCTATTTTACCAGATGTTTGTGAAGCCTTGCCATTCCTATGGTGGGCCTTCGGTTAGCCAGAACTGCCATCTGCTTTCTAATCTTCAAAAGGCCTGTTCCTTGTTCCTGTGGCCCCTGGGAATGCTAAGAAATTTCACTCTACATAGATGCCAAGAGAGAACCAGAGAAGTGACATAGCTACAGAACGATCCGATGGCTCTTACCAAAGTGAAATCACCCCCGCCTCTCTTAAAACTGAAGTATCTGATATTTACTATATTTTCTCTCACTCCTGAGTACTATTTATCTGTTCTCTCCAAAAAAAACCTGGTGTCATTTCAGAGTGAGCATTTTTTTCCATCTTTAATCTCACTCTTTGGCTTCTGGCTGGATGTCTGCATGATTCCAAAGTTCACATCTTCTACACCAAAGCCCTGTTAACATGGAAACTATAAAAACATCTATTTTGACTGACCCCAGGGGAGAAGTGTCTCCTCTGAGTGACCTGCCGTGAGTTGAAGCTGCCATTCTAAGCTCTGACCGTCATCGAGAAAGCCTGAGCCAGTGGACCTGAACTTCAGCAATACTGTCAGGAACCCAAGCTCCAAAGGGAGTAGACTGGAATAATGCAGCTTTTGATGTTTTATTAGTAAGCACCTTACATCTTTTCCAAGTAGAATGAAGCAATCTGTAAGACTAAGCTAAGGGGTCTGGTGTTGTCTGTGCTCTTTGGATGCAATGGAAGAGCTTGCATTTCATAGTAGGAAATGTGTGCTGTGGTATTTCCTAAAGACCCCTTATGACAGGTAGGTGATCAGGAGATGCCTCGCAGACCACACTGGCCCATTATTTTACCTGCACAGTCTGCAGCGTGCCAAGAGCTCTGGGTTGAGATCTCTGTGTCCAGGGATGAGGTCCTGTGGTAGCATTGCGAGGAATCAAGAGAGCTGGTAATCCTTCAGGCACGGTGTTGGTTTGCTCTCAGTGCTAAGCAGTGTCCTGCAGCAGAAACCTTTTCAGATGTCCCTTTTAGTTTTATTTCTTGTGACACACAGCCACAAACCAGGGGAGGCATGACTTGTGGGCAGGCAGGACTTCCTCTTCTTTGAATTGTAGTGTAATAATTGAAGACAAGGAAGGCGGAGGTCTTCTAACTCTAAGGCTGTCCTTAAAGTCACACGGTTTCCTTATACATCATGTCCTGATCACCAGAACACACGAATGCAGGCTGCTGAGCAGCAGGCAGGGAAAGGTGGGCTTTGCTTGCCTTTACCTATGTGGGAGCTGGCCATGAATTAGCGTGGGACTTGGTGTTGCATGGCTTCCTCAACTGACCAAGACACGTAGACCACATGCCTTGCACATCACAGAGAGATCGCAGGGCCCTGCCCACATCCTCGCTATGCTCATTGTTAGCTATAGGATATGGGCCAGGTTGACATTGACTTTCCAACTAATTTCCACATCTATGTCAGAGGAATAATAAGACCTATATATTAGGAGTATTATAAGAAATGAACGTAATAATTTATGTAGCTGTACTTTAGGTATATAGGAGGTGCTTGATATACTTTAATTTTTTTCTGCCTTAATCTCTGTCCACTTAGGTGGCCTCCCAGAGGGTTTATCATCCTCCTTTGGATACTCACCATGCAATGTTTTACTTGTATATGTATTAATGTTATTAATATAACTATGTTATAGATCTATAATAAACCCCCACATTCCCTGAAATATATTCTAATAAGTGTGTATTTACATGGGCGAATAATTGAATTATTAAGGGAGATACTAATAATCATTCACTAAATGTTAGTTCTGTGCCAGGTATTGTGCTAAGTAACTTACAGATAGATATTTTTCTACTTAATCTCAGTAATCACTGCATATGAAAAAAATTTTAATTGTGAGAAGTGAAGCCTAGGGAGGTTCAAGTAATTTACTCACCTTATGCATTAATGTGTGTGTATTTGTGATTTAAAGCAATCACTATTTTATTGGCTCACCATTATGTAGGCCACTTGGTCAGCAGTGGCCTGTGTCTGCATTCATTTACTAGGGTTTCTATAACAAAGAACTAAGCATTGGCTGGTCAAAATAACAGAAATTTATTTTCTCCCAGTTCTGAAAATTGGAAGTGTGAAGTGGAAAGGTCTATAGGGTTGATGCTTTGGAGGGCTGTATCAGTCAGCTTCCCTGTTGCTGTCTCCAATTCCTTGACAGACTTCATGTAAGGAAGAGAAGTTTATTTTATCTCACGACTTCCAAGAGTTCTGCCCATGGTCAGCTGGCTCCGAGGCAGGACCACCATGCAGGACAGGTGTGGCGGAGCAAAGCATCTTACTTTACAGTGGCCCAGGAGCAAATCAGGTGAACAGTGCCAGACAGGAAGGAGCCAGGGACCACATAGGGTCCCCAAGGCCACCTCTCCATGACCTACCCCAAAGCATGCTTTACTAATCTCCTAGGCAGTGCCCCAGCCAATCAAGTTGACTATTAAGCTTACCTGTCACAAGGGCTGCTATGGGGAGTCTGTGGTATGTCTCATCTAAATTTATGGATGACCTCTTTATTTTGGCATTAATGGTCTCTGTGTCTGCATCCAAATTTCTCCTTGAAAGGACATGAGTCGCAGTGAATTAGGTGTTACTCCAGCATCATTTTAACTTGATTGTTATTGCAAAGAAACCATCTCTAAATGAGATCAAATTCTGAAGTGCTGGAAGTCTGGAATTTAATATGTGTATGGTTATAGGACTAAGGACTGAACCCAAGATCTTTGTACTGAGCTACATCCCCACATGCCCAGTCCTTTAGAATTTTAATGTTATAAATTTGGAGCCAGGTTCTTTGGGTTGGAACTGGCCTCAGCCTCCTAGAGTGCTGGGGTTACAGGTCATGTGGCATCACACTGGCCTGGCATATGAATTTTGAGGGAACACAGTATACTCATATCAGTCCCTGGTTGTCTCGTTAGTGCTGATGGGTTTGCTGTGTACCTCCTCTTGTGAGCAGCCTTGGCCAGGAAGCTCAGCCCATCCCCTCCACAGGGGCCATGTGCAGTCCAGTCCCTGCTCCTTCATTCACTGAGCCTGGGGATCTAGGGAAGGAAAAACCTGGAAACCACATGCACACACTCATTTCCTAAGTCCCTGCTCATGTCCTCCTTACGGTGGACCTACTGGACAAAGCAAGTTGGTTTGCCTAATCTAGAAGAATTATGGGGGAGGATCTCAAAAAGCACATATAGAGAAGAGCATTTCTTTGCTTTTATTGGATGATAATCTGAAAATACATGTTTCTGTCTAGTTAGTAACTAGACCACAAATGACAGCCCAAGTCTAATTCTTGCATGTCACCAAGGGAGACTGCAAAACAGGTTGGTAAAGTGAAAAAGTGATGAGTTGTGGGAGACCACCAGGCTATGTTCCCCTGAGAAATGAAGCCCCTTGTATCCCTCTTTCCCTGACCTTTACTTCAACTGTGATTACTAAGATTTTCACATCTGGCTCTACATTTCCTTAATTGGTCAAAAGGGTGTCACTGAGTGCAACCCATGTGCTGATGAGTCTCAGGATGCTACAGTGGCAGCACATGAGTGAGAATCCTTCCTGCTCTCCTAAGAGCTGGAATGGAGCTCGAGCAAGAGCCCATGAGATTCCAGGGCAAAGTCATGAGATAGCATCTCAGCGGAGGCCACTCAGAAAGAATGTAAAGGTGCCAGCCTGGCATACCTCAAGCTATCTGTTGTGCACTAATCAGAGGGCCTCTCTACCTTGTGCAAAAGTATTCTGTCCCTCTTTACACAGGACGTCTGCATGGTTTTTGTTCTCATGCACTCTGCCATGACATCCACCTGCCTCCCTGATTAGTACCAATGAAAGCCATGGGCACTTGGGCTCCTGGCCATTGGTCCAACTGAGAGAAATAGGTCATCCTGGAGCCCCTTCACCTACAGATCTTTCTCCATCTTCTTTCATCCACATGTTACACTGCTGGGTAGAGTCCTGAACTCTCCTTGAGAGTTTCGGTAGTGAATGCTCTAGGTGATGTTTATAGCTTTTTTTCAGAGATATTATTCATTTTTGCTTGTATATTGATCATTTTAGTAGGTGGTGCAAATACAATTGGGAGAAAAGGTATTTTGTCTGATCCTTGCCATTGTAGACTTTACATGAGTCAACTTCACAAATATATGGAACTACAATTTGTAACAAGTGGGTGGGCTGGGCCTGCCCTGACATATTCCTTTATCAGTTTTAATATCCTCTACCTCCTATCTGGCAGGTTAGGGTAGGCACACGGATACAGAGCTGAAAAGGAATAATATAGTCACCACCCTTGTGCAGCTTAGAATCTAGTGGGCTGTGGACTGAGAGGCTTCCTTTGGGGAGGTGACATGAAAACTTGGATCTCTATGATGAGCTAGAATTTGCTAGATTAAAAGAAGAGGAAAGAAGGGAATGGAAGGAATAAAGGGATGGAGGAAGAGAGAAAAATAAAGAAGGAAGGATACAGAAAAGAGGAGAGAGAGGGAGACGGGAGAGAACACAGCGTTGTCAGGAAGGGCGTGCGAAGCCTCCCAGGTGGCCTGTCTGCGTGCCAGGGTGGGGAAGCCGCAAGCTACTGGGAGAACTTATCAGGTGCACCACACACCGGTAAGGCAGGGAGGGCTGGTGCGGAAACAGCCAGACAGACGGGCTGCACTTCCTCAGTCTGAGGCCAGAGCCCACAGGCTCCAACCTGCATGCTCCTCGCTCTGGCTGTCTGCTCTCCGCTTTACAGCTAGACCCGTCTCCCACACTCACTTCTAGACGGGCACCGTTTCTGCTGTGTTAATTGCTGCTAGAGTTCTGTTCTCTTGCTCCCTACTACACTTTATCTCCTGCCTACATAAATCTGTTGGGTCATGGACCTTGAGTCACAGAGGGAAGAATCAGGGAAGTCTAGAGACATCTGGGTTCAGGAAACCAGGTTGTTACTATCATACAGAGTTATTGCTGAGATGCTGTGGGCTTTTGGGCAAGGGATTTCGTCATCCTGTGCCATACGCAGCTAGGGAGTGCTAGTATCTATTTGGAGTATCTATGGTGAGGATTATATTGATTAGTTCCTGCAAGAAGCCTCGCATCACACCTGGCATGTGATTAACATCAGCTCTTCTTCCATGTTCCCCAGGCCTCTCTCACAGTGCCACTAAAACACAGCATGGGGCCACCAGTCCTTACAAATGGGTAGAAGTGTGCTAGACCGCACTTGTGAGTAGGAATGTGTGATGTATTCAGAGGTGCACATGGGTGTGAGTGAAACATTTCAGTTCAGTCAGTTTGCTGTTTTCACTTTCTGGCTAATTCATGTAAGGTTCATGGAAGAACTGAAGGAAGAGGAAAACAAGTCAAACAAGACATTTAGGCCTGATCAGATTAAAATAGGGTCATGAATGCAGGGATATCGGGAAAGAAATATTTGGTTTTGGAGCTGAAATCCGAGCTGGGCCAGCAACAGAGTCTCACTGGCTATAGCTGCATTATGGAATGAGTTTAAACAAGTTAACAGATTTAACTGATTCTCCTGTTTCTCATCTTTAAAAAGAATGTGGTGCTAAGAATCATGAAGTACCTGAAATTTTAAAATTATCATGCAAATAATGGTAATCATATATGTCAACAGCCTGGCTCTCATTCAAACGGGAGATCTTTATACATCCCCCCATAGTGACCCCACCCTGGAAACTCACGTCTTAGGAGTAAACATCCGCACAGTGGCACAGTCCACTCTTCCTTCACTTCCCCTCTCTAGGAGGAGGCAGTGTGCTGAAGGGAGAAGGAATTGGCAAAACCTCATCCAGCTGTACCACTTCCCTGCTGCTCTTTTTGCACTCAGCTTTCCTTTGGGGAAATAAAAAATTTAAAGGACAGATGAGGTTTCAAGAGAAATCATTGGTTCTGGGTAATCCAGGGTGCTTGGCTTCACTGTTTTAGCAAGCTGCTCCTCCGGGCTCCTGTCAGACAGCTGGTCTCAGGCTGATGTCAAGGGCTGGGGTCCTACCGTGCAGCTCACTGGTGCATTTACCCCTGATTACAAAAGACAGTGTACAGCATTGTCTGGGAGTTCAGAGTGTGCTGGCTATTCCAAAGATTCCTACTCCAGAGTGCTGGCTCTTGCAGGGAATCAAAACAAACACATCTATAAATTAAATGAGAGCCTTGTGGGGAACCTGGGTGAATTAGCACCTGTGTTCCTGATTTTTTATGTTTGCACATGGGTCCATTAGTAGGTAGATGCCAGGCTCCCGAGAAGGGTGAGCTTGC